AGAAGCGTCCACCTCGATCCGCGTGGGCCGAGCCGGATCCCAGGAGACCAGCACGGGCTCGCTCGTAAACGCATCCTTGAGGGCTTGGAAGGCGAGTCGCTGCGCGGTTCCCCAAGTCCAGGGGACGTCCTTCTTGGTCAGGTCGTTGAGCGGTCGCGCGTGCTTGGAGAAGTCCTTGATAAACCGACGGTAGAAGTTGGCGAACCCTAGGAAGCCACGTAAGTCGCGCAGGTTCTTGGGGGCTGGCCATTCGGTGACGGCCTTGACTTTGACCGGGTCCATGGCCACCTCGCCTTCGCGGATGATGAGGCCGAGGTACTCTACCTCCGTCTTCTCAAACTCGCACTTCTCTGGTCGCAGGTAGAGGTCGTGTTCCTGGAGTCGTTTCAGCACCTCGTGGGTTACGGCGCGATGCTCTTCGAGGGTGATGCTGAAGATGAGGATGTCATCAAGGTAGACAGCAACCTTTCCTGCGGCGATCAGATCAGCGAAGATTGAGTTCATCAAGGCTTGGAACGTAGCGGGTGAGTTGGTGAGTCCGAACAGCATGACCCGCGGTTCGAATAGACCTCGATCGTGGACGGTAAACGCGGCCTTCCACTCGTCTCCCTCCTTGATGCGGACGTTGTGGTAGCCCCAACGGACATCGAACTTGGTGAAGTACTTGGCCTGGCGCAGGCGACTGATGATATCTGACGCGAGGGGGAGGGGGTAGCGATTCTTCACCGTGATCTCATTGAGCTTGCGATAGTCCTGGACCAGGCGGAGCTTGCCATCCTTCTTCTTCACGAAGAAGACCGGGGACGCCATAGGTGACTTGGAGGGAACGATGTAGCCTTTCCGAAGGTTTTCCTCGAGGAACCGATCGACTTCCTCCTGCTCGTTGGGCGACATCGGGTAGGCCTTAGAGCGTAGAGTTTCTGGGGCGTCAGGTTTGAGGTCGATGGCATGGTCGTACGGCTTGTGTTCCGGGAGGCGTTCTGATTCGGTCTCGGAGAAGACCTTCGAGTATTGTCGGTACTCCTCTGGAACGATCTCTTCGAACGTGCGTTTGGGCTTGCCCTGGTTGGCCTTCTGCGCGAGCTCCGTGGAGTAGGTGTACCCGGCGGCACACCATAACTCCTCGGTCGTGTCCTCCAGAACCTTGGCCTTCCACCACTTCCTTCGCTGCACCCGGTTGGCGGCGATCCGCTCAATACCAGGTTTCCATTCCGCCTCGGCCTCCTTTTCCTCCGCACCAACCTCCATAGTGCCTTCCTGCCAGTCAATGTCCGGATTGACTCTACGAAGCCAAGGTAAACCTAATACGACGTCTTCAGGGCCCAGGTCTGTAACTAAGAACTCGAGCCATTCTGTGTAGTCGCCCATAAGTACTTGTAACCTAACGTAATGGGATATGCTCCCTGCGCTGTTCTTGGAGCCGTCGATGTTGTAGAGGGGAATGTCTCTAGCTAACCTATGTAAGTAGACGTTGTTTTTCTTTATGAAACGGTGGCTGATGAAAAGGGCCGTTGCCCCACTGTCTATCATAGCTGCGGAACGTACACTACGGTTTCTGCCTTTAAGAATCACACTGACGCGGAAATGCGAGCTAGATGGGTTCAATTCGGGAATGATACACGAACTAATACTATCGTACACGCAGGGGTCAGGGATCTGGGGAGGCGGAGAGTCCGTGGTCGTACTAGGGGGCGCCGCTGCGGCAGCTTTCGCGCGCGCCCGCTCTAAAAAGACTTCTGCAGAGAGGCAAGCTGGTCTGCGAGGGCCTTCTGCTGCTCCATGAGCTGCGCGATGAGGGCGTTGGTTGCTCCGGCGTCCGCAGACGTCGACGTCGACGCTGCAACCTGGGGTTCCTCAGGTCCCTCCTCCGTGGCGGCGAGCTTCTGCGAACGGGGCTTCTTCAGGAACTTGTCCATGCACACTGTCTCGCGGTGCCCTACGCGGCGACAGTAGCCGCAGATGTCTCGGTCGTGGCCGCCGTCCTTCTTGACGTGCGCCGTAGACCCGCAGCCGTAACACTTGCCGCGCATGAGGCGGTTGAACTCTTCGCGCGTCCGAGTTGCATCGATATCCATGGCGTTCGGGTCCCTCGACGGAGGCGCGAAGGGGGTGGTGTGCAGCGGGGCCGTGGGCTTCACGGTAGTGGTCGTCGTCGTGGTGCGTCCGCGTTGACGATCTCGTTCGGCACGGCGTTGGCGGACGCGGACGTCAATGTCCGAGGAGACAGTGATGAGGTCCTCGAGAGAAGCGATGGGCCTCGCTGTGTGCACCAACTCGTCCTTGATGGAGTCCGCCAGGTGTTCGTAGAAGCGGTCTCGGAGGTCGGCCTTGGAGTAGCCCGTGCGGGTGGAGAGCTCGTTGAACCGTGCGGCGTACTCCGGAACGGTCATGGTGCCTTGCCATAGCGTACGGAGACGTTCCTTCGCGTCGACCGCCTCGTCAACCGTCTCGAAACGGGCCTTGAACTGGGTGCGGAACTCCGTCCACGAGCCTTTGAACGGGGTGGTGCCCTGCGTGATCTCCTCCATCGCCAGAGTGGCCCAAAGAGCTGCGCTGTCCTGCATAAACGAGAGGACCGCCCGAATCCACTGGTCGTCCCGCGCACTGATCGCGTTGCCCATGGCATCGACATGGTTGAGCGTCGAACCTTGGGACATGGCCCAAAGGGTGAACGCGGCCAGGAAACGCCGTGCCTCACCTCCTTGTTCGCCTTTGAAGGCGGAGGGCTTCTGAACAGCCTTCAGACTGCTGGTCCCGGTGGTCGAGTTTGCAAGCTGCGCCATGGACTGGGTGAGGAGAGTCATCGACTGGAGTAATACCGTCATGGGGTCCGGGGGTTGCGTTGCCGTCTGGGTGCCCGGTTGGGCCTGCTGGGGGTTGTTGGCGGGGCCTGTCGTCTGCGGTTGTCCACCTTGTTGTCCCATGATGGGTGGAGCGGACGGTGGACGGGTTGGGGGAATGATAGGGGATGGGGGAAGCGCGATGAGTAGCGCTACTTCGAGC